CATCATTAGAGCAGCACTGCTGGGATTCACTGTTCACCATAACACCATTAACATAGCACTATGTCATTGCAACCAGCCTACCTGCAATTTCCCAGTTATTCATTTCGAATATCATGCATAAAAGGTTTTCAAATATTTTCAATAATTGAGCTGCTTAACAAGGAACTTCATCCGAATTGTGAAAATTAAAATAATGGCATCATTAAAAATGTTGTAAAATGCCAAAATATAGATATTTTAGTTACTGTTTTTGTTGATTCCTTTAAAATTTCATATTCACTGGTTACAGTATATCTTGGTGGCTTTTTGCAGTAAGGGCAGCATCCCTTCACCTTCTGGTATTCCTTTAGACGCCCGCAATGCGTTGGCAGATCCCAAGCCTGTGCACTCAGAAACCGGAGGATCATATTGCTTACACTTTGTATCTGCAATGTGTAAACAGTGCAACTCTCCAGGTAGAGTGTGCATGCACAGGATTGGTAGTGCCAGCATACTCAGCATTCTACCTGCAGAATCACAATATCTAATACAATATGATTCCCTGGCTAGAGTGCTGAAGATGCAAACGTTGTCTATCCGGCAGATGTGCACCTTGCGCTGTCAGAGTTGGTTGCTAAGATGCCAACATACGCAATCATCACAGCCATGGTCCTTTTTGGACCATGATGTCAGCCTTCATCTCCGTCCCCCTTTTTTTACATTCAGCTCTTCTAGCCAGAGGAAAAATGGGGCCAGGGATGATTCACTGGTTGCTAGGATGCCGGTAGGTGTCGACATCCTAACAATCAATGAGGTCTGAGCAGGAAGCCATCACGTTTAGTAATAGATAAGGCAATGTTGGTCACTCTAAAAATACCCAATGTTCAACCAAGTGAAAATGAAATTAAAAAGTCCTTCCCAACTTAATTTTATTTTCACTTCGTTGAACATTGGGTATTTTTAGAGTGACCAACATTGCCTTATCTATTACTAAACGTGATGGCTTCCTGCTCAGACCTCATTGATTGTTAGGATGTCGACACCTACCGGCATCCTAGCAACCAGTGAATCATCCCTGGCCCCATTTTTCCTCTGGCTAGAAGAGCTGAATGTAAAGTAATGCTTGCTATATGAAAATATGTATAAACACTATATCTGCCTCACATTTAAACATTTCAATCATTTCTTTTAATACAAGACACTTCTGGAATTACTGGAATTACTACTGCTACTACATCACATTTAGTAGCAGTAGTAATTCCACCACAGAATGAATGATTTTCCAGCAGTCAGAGGTTCAGTTCAGCGGGCGGGCAAGCTGGCCTTTTAGTTTGCCAAAAGAACTTGCAATGAATCCTGTGTCACCACAAACTCAAACCCCATCATTAGTTATTGATCCCTCACTCACATTGAAGTGTTTGGGTCTGGCAAGTGGCCATTAAGGCCAGAGCACTGTATTCTAAAGTAGGAGGTCTCAGGTTCTCCCAAATTTCAATTACAAAGTACTTTTGATGAAAGACAACACAGTGGCAAGAAGACATGGAGAAGGTGAGACTCACTGGGTATTGTGAAGAGAACCTGTCCTTTTTCCCTGAATAGATAAAAGGTCAGGATTCTTTTCAGTAAACTAAAATCTGATTGGTTAGTATAGTTGATTGCAGTTTGTATATCATCACTGTTCTCTAAAATGTAATAAACATATCCATATGTGTTTATTTTGGCCCTTAACAAAAAGAGTGAAGAAGAATATATGTGGTTATGTTACTTAGATTGAACAATTCTAATAATTCTAGTAAAAACGTACTGCTTACTGATACAAAGGTTCAGCCATGCTAGATAGACTAAGAAGCTCTTGTGACGACTTTACCAGAATGAATTTGCATTATACTATATTAACATGCAAATTATCTTAATAGCACATCAACTGTCTGCTTCATAATTAGGCTTAACCACTTAAGACTGCAGATGAGCTAATATGAATGCATGGTAATAAAGTCTGATTTCCATAAAATGACCTGCTGTAGAGGATGATACATTACTGTTTCCCCTAGTAATGGTAATATGCAGTGAGCACACAGCCACAAGGTATTATTAATGAAATAAATTGGGAATAATCTTCTCTATCATTAGTCACAGATCTGATAATATGCCCAGTATTGTAAAAACCACCACAAATTAGCCAATATTTAGGGATCGATGAGGCTAAAGTAATGCTTGCTATATGAAAATATGTATAAACACTATATCTGCCTCACATTTAAACATTTCAATCATTTCTTTTAATACAAGACACTTCTGTTATTGAATTTTTTTTATGTGGTGTTAAAGCTGAACTCCAGGAATTAAACACAATCTACCCTTGTAGTGGGGTCTCCTCACTGCAAGAGTTACAGTAAATAATGCTTGTTTAGTCCAGGGTTTCAGGTATAAGATGTATTACTTACCCTATTGCCTCAGTCTAGCAGGCTCCAGCACTGTTCTCTTCGGCTAGTCAACCCAAGCAGAAGTGGGAGTGGGTACCTGTCAAAACTAGGTACCTGCTCCCCCCTAGAAAAAAATTGTGTCCAAAGGAGGAGAAGGGGTGGAGGCAGAAATGTGGAACTTCCTCTTTTGGGTGAAGTTCCACTTTGAATTCTGCTTCAACCTGAAAGGCTGAGGACATTTACACTTTGGAGGGCAAAGTCCAAGGGACTCCAATGCCAGCAGTGAGCTATGAAATAAATGAAGGAACAAAAGTCAGAAGGAGAGCCGGGTTAGGTGACCTCAGACATGCATTTAATAAATGGGCTGTAAAATGAAAGCTGCTTTATTTTTGTTTTAAGGCCTTCGTACACAACGCATAAACAAGATCTGCATCAACATTCATTTTAAAACACACAGTAGGATTCACTATATTCATATACTAGGCAGAGCTCAGCTCATGGCAGCCATGTGTGCTGATAGCTCAACTTCTGTGCTTGTGTGAACAAGACCTAGAAATTATGAAGCCTAACAAGAGAGGACCTGTCATTAGGCAAATGCATAAGCTGCCATTGCGGACCTCCTCCTAAAAAGTACAGCAACCTAGTGCTTCAGCATTTTCTGTGTCATAAACCCAAGAAGGAAGATCAAGAGTTCTGACTTTACTTTGACTTTCCTTGCTACATAATTGTTCAGGGTTAGGAACTCTGAAATTATAGAAGCCACCGAAATAGCAGGACAGGCAGCATTTTTAGAAAGACATCCCTAACTGTTGCCCTTATATTCCTCCCATTACAGGTTTCCTTTAGAATATAACATATTATACATCATCTGTCTCTCTGATAGGAAAACTCCTACCTAGGGCTAGGATATCAACAGACATTTTGAATGTTTTGCCAACTTGCTGAACACATTAGTTTTTTACCTCCTTTCCTACTTCCAGTAAAATGGCATTATGGTTTTTCTTTCACCACCACAAATTGATATTCTCAGGGGAGTCATCAAAATGATATGACAGCATAGTCCAGTTCTACAAAGCTACATCTGGCGCTACATGGGCGACAAGTCCCGATGTTGTCGGTGTCCGCAGCTGTCTGAGGCTGTCCGAACAGCCAGCAATTACCTATGGTGATCGCTGGAACCATACAAAGTGATCACTGCAGGTAATTCCAGGCTGATCAGACAGCCCACGGATAGCTGCGGCCGCTACTGCAGGACTCGACAGCCAGAACAACAGCTCACAGGTGGCTTTAACAGCTGCAGGAATCAGCACATTCCTGCCACAGTGATTCCCCTCCTACAGCCCATAAAGCCCAATGCCACTTTATAAAAATAGCATGGCAGATTAATTTCACATCATATATATTCATGAATAAATGTACATCTTTGTATTCTATTATCAAGTGAACTGTGGGTAAAAGTTCCTAAGACAGTACTACAGAGAGCCAGTTATGGATCAACAGAGTGACATGGCATGGAAAATTACAATGTCCAAATCCAAAGCCTATTAAACCTTATTCCTTGTTGAAATATAAATGTAATTTCAGTTTCTGTGGGCTAACATTGTTTTCTCAGAGCATTCCTTTCAATGAGCCTGTCCATCTGGTATACCACATGCCAACAGCTCCAAAAGAACCTAAATAATCTCCAAGAACCTGTAAACCAAAGTAATGAGTGATAGAGTAGGCAGAAGCGGAAATATGTAGGAACAATTGCTAATCAACAGATGTCTGCGAGCACTTAAACACCCTTGCCAAAATCTCTTTATTAGCCCATAACACAAACAAAATTCATGTCTATTTTGTAGACTTCAGCTCTAATTAGAATGGTTGCCTACTACTGCCCAATACATTTCACAAATACTAGCAGAAATTTAATTTAAAGTGGTACTAAGCCCAGGCCCATGAATTCACTATATCTGGCCGCCCACAGAACACAGAACATTGAAATGAAATTATCTTCTATCTGCTAAATACCTTTTTTCATCAGCAGTCTTGTGACTTCTATTAGTGTCCAGCACAGCACTGGTTAAAGCTTGTAGGAGGAGTTTCCATTCTCTCCTGATTGTCCTATGAGGCTGCAAGACCCCTAACCATCTGTCTGGACAGTGCTGATTGGCCCTGTCCTGATGACATGTACTCTCCCAAGAAAAAAACCAACTCTCTAGCAATACACACCAAACTGAGCATGTGCAGCTTGCCCCCCAAGGCTCTGTACTATGGCAAATGGATTTGGAACAGTAAAAGGTGAGGAGCAGAGAAGACAGGACTAAACATCCTTAGGATTAACCCCTTAGGTTCCACAGTGAGTATACCAAGCATGCTTTACTGCATATACTGACTGATTTTACTGTTGTGGATTTAATAACAGTTTAAGGGTCTATTCGCACTTATGCATGTTAATACACACCTTTACACATGTGCAGAGGTTTAACTATATTCAATAGTGATGTGCAGAGGTTTGCTATGGTTTTCAGGGGTGCTAGTTTACATATGTAAGGTGCAGAGACATAAATTAACCAAAAATCCTTCAATGCACAATATAAAGCCTCAAATCATGCTGCAACCAGGGGCGGACTGACCATTTGGAAACTCGGGCACTGCCCAAGGGCCGGGGGTCAGTAGGGGGCACCATGAGATGCCCCTGGTACCTTTTTCATAGGCTTTTTTGAGTTTGGGCAAGGACACAGGGGCCCCATGATCCCTTATTGCCTGGGGGCCCCATGAGATGTCAGTCCTCCCCTGGCTGCAACGGGGCGTGTTTGTGTGAGCCCAGTCTCAATATTGCTTAGTGTAAGTCTATACATGTAAAGAAATGTGAATGTAGACAAAATGATAGATGTAAAACACTTTTTACAGACAGTTTAGGCATATGCATTGTATATGAAGACATGGTTTTAGCAGGGTTGGTGTACTTTAACTCACTTAGAGATCGTTGATGTAGTGGAGATACTGGGCATTCAGGGCTTGTGCACATCAGTGCAGTGAGATAACAAGAGATAAAACACAAGAACACTGAATGGCACCCCAATGCACATTTCCAACACAATTACACCATGATGTACCATACCACACACAGCCCACGGCGTTGGGTGCTGTGCTGCAAAATAAGAAACATGCACTTCATTTTGTATGTTGATTTAATGTTGCATTACAGCCCATTCAGGGCTTGTTCACACCAAATCTGCTGAGCTGGGTTTTTCTGCAAACCAATGTACATATATGCTGTGAACATAGTAAATACAAAACTATGTGCCCTGTTTACACCATACACATGCGCCGTTGTGTAGAAAAAAACGCAACTCAATGGACATGGTGTAAACAGGCCCTCATTTTAAAATGAGCTGCCTAACGCAACATACCTCTACTACACTAAAATGTGTGAACTGCTGCGCAATGCGGTAAGAAGAAGCCCACAGGTTGAGTGAAAAAAAGTGCAAATTGCAGTAACTGTAAAGTGAAATAACTCATAAACCAAATAGATGCCACTAGAGGAAATTAAAATCTCATTCATTGTTGTAGGTTACTGCAGTATGCAACTGAACTGCCTTATTGAGTGAACCTGATTCATTTACTCCAGGCTAATAATATAAAACACACACAAACACGCTTTAAAAGTAGTAATATATTAAACTATCAAAACTAATAAAGCTGAACTGTGAGTCTTGTACAGTTGTACAGACTCTTCTCCTGTACTTAGATTGCTTACTCGGATTTTATTCTGCACTGGAAGCTCACAGTGTGCATCAGAAGCAAGTCAGATAGAGTACAACTCATTTCCTAGCTGGAGGACATCCAGCCTCATTTTAAGCAAGCAATAGATTATTCAGTTCTCCTACCTGCAACCATGGGTTGCCTGTTTGATTTCCCCATCAACACAGTCAATGTTGATAGGGGAATCCCTCCCGTGGAACTTTTGTATTCTGACAGTGGGAGGTTTCTCAGCCATCAGAATACAATGATCACTGCTGGCTGCTTATAAAGTGTGAGCTGGAGTTTTGTTTCAATGTGTTAGTGTATCTAAATCTGCGAGCACATCTAACACTCCCCCCTCCCGCTAGACCTGTGGTCCCCAAACTGCAGCCCTTTGCTTGCTATCATTCTGTGACATAGTTCCACCCACCGACACAAAATGATGGGGCACTATTCCTTCCACTGACACCAAATAATGGACCACTATTCCTTCCACTGACACCAATGATGAGGCACTACTCCTCCCACTGACATGAGTGATGGCATAAGAGGGGACACTGTTTACTTCCAGTGACACCAGGACATTTTCTACTCCCGATGGTCACAATCTGCCCCTCCTAAAGTTTGATAGACAGTAAACTGGCCCTTTGTTTAGAAAGTTTGGGAACCCCTGCCCTAGACTGAAAATGTTGCTGTCCAAAGGTGCCCACTTTGTTCCTTCATCCAGAGTTGGGACACTGTAATACAGGGAGTGTGTTACTGGTCAGATCACCAGGTGAAAATAGAGGGCAAAAAGCCCTTAAAAAAAAAAAAACCTCATAATAATAACAACTAGTCCAGGTTTTGTCCATACCTTGTACTATATCACATTGACTGTCAGCAAAACTATACTGTCTCTTGCTACAGACCTGCTGAACCATACAAACAAATTGAGAAAAGACCACACCTGACCATGCCTGACTGAGAATGATAACCCAAAAACAGTTTCCACAGAAAGCCATGTTTGCGTCCTATAAAGAAAAAAAAGGTTTTGAATGGAAACCCATGATTTATATGTATTTAGAATAGTCTAAAATTTACTGGACATGTGTGAACCATTGTAATGTCAGGTCAGTTTTACTAATGTTGACTTCATTATGACTACTGGAACAATACCCCTTTAGCCCACCTCTTCCAATAAATTTTACTGAAATACTCTGCATGTCTGACGTCAGTGTGAGGAGACCTCTTAGCTGTAATTAGGGCCCAATCCTATGTCCCCATTCCTGTGCGTTGGGCAATGCATGTGTGTGGACATATACTACCAAAAGGCAGCTCATTTATTGTTGAACGGGCTGCTGATGCAAGATTTCAGCTGTAAAAGTGACACCAGAATTAATCCATACACATCCACCACTTAAAGCGGAGTTCCACTCACACTGTAAAAAAAAATAAAAGTCAGCAGCTACAAAAACTGTAGCTGTTGACTTTTAAAAAAACAGCCACTCACCTGTCCCACGATCCCGCGGTGTCCTCCCTGCAGCCCGTTTCACCAGCCATCCTGTGTTCCAGGCACATCTTCAGTGTGGGCACCAGGCTGTGATAACTTGCGGCTTCACAGCCGGGTACCCACTGCACATGCGCGAGTAGCGCTGCGCTTCCGGAATGGTCCCGTAGTCTTCTGGGACCTGTCACGTGTCCCACAAGACTTCCGAGAGGGAGGGTAGGAGGACAACTTCGTCTAAGCGATCGCAGCGGAAGTGGGCGCAGGTACCTGTCAATTTCAGGTACCCGCTCCCCAATAGTGTCAATCCTTAATGGGGAGTGGGGGACCAGTCTTTAAAGCGGAACTTCCCCTTTTGGGTGGAGTTCCGCTTTAATGGCTGTAATCTATATTTGATTCAATAATTTCTTACTGTTTTTTTGTCCCATTGCAATGTCCTTTGTGACCACCTCAACCTATCATTTGCCCTTCACTTGCTTTTGTTTGGATCGAGGATTGCAGGCTAGTTGCGGTCATATACATTGCTCTGTGCACCCTACAAATCCCATAGTCGATAGTCCCTAGTCCATCTCAGCAGTAAGCAAGAGAGTTGGTTCCTACATACAATGGAACCATGGAGAATGAACGTAGCCTCCTTCTAAGGCTACATGTACACTGGAAATGCCATAGACGTTAACTCTACTGGGAGCAGAAAACCGCTAAAAGTGGCAAAATTGTGTTACCGCAGCTAGTGCTTAGGACCATTTACATACGCTTAGCAATTTGTTAGCCAAAACATTCCTCTCCTGAAGATGTTTAACTGCCTCTAAACTCTGCTGCTGCTAAGTGATGCTAAAAGTCTATGTTTGTGTGGACAGAGAGAAAACAGGTGGCGCACACACCTAGTGCATTATCCAAGGTTTATTGTAGGAGTGAAAGAATAATAAAAACATACTCACAGACGAAGCATGTATCTAAAAAGCATAGAAAAATAACAATGGCCACAACAGCAGGCAAGGTGTTCTCACTGTCAGTGCGGTCAAATGTCTGACGCGTTTCGGGGACGAATCCCTTTCCTCAGAGCTGATGACCAACCTCTGATGCTGATGTATGATGTATGGAAAGTAAGAGCCTTGCTGTTGATCAACACCCTGCCTGCCGTTGCGGCCATTGTCATTTTTCTATGCTTTTTAGATACATGCTTCGTCTGCGAGTATGTTTTTATTATTCTTTCACTCCTACAATAAACCTTGGATAATGCACTAGGTGTGTGCGCCACCTGTTTTCTCTCTATCCAGTGGCTGATTTCCCCGTCTGAGGAGGGCTGCACCCCTGAAGCATTTCCTTTGGTTGTCGCTGTCCTGGTACCCTTGGCTTCCATTTTGGCTGTGCATATCCTGAGGCGCTGGAGAGTACATATGATATCCGGTTCGTATGTTTGTATGGACACCTAAGCTTTTATTGAGTTGAGTTCAGGGGGTTTGGCAACCCCCCCCCCACCCCAAAAAAACCCCAAAGCTCCCGAAGAGAAAGTTGGATCACAGCGGCAAAAAAAAAAAAAAAAAAAGGAATTTGGAGATTTGGAGGAGGCTGAGTGCATCCAGACAACTAGCATGTTCATAAGGACTTTTTAAAGTTAAGAATACACACTTGATATATACTATAAATACTTTTTTTAAACTAGAGTTTAGTGTCACTTTAAAGTAAACCTGAAACTAATATGTTTCATTATGAACATGATAGTTGCCTGGATGTGGCTTTGTATTTTTTGGGGCATAGATCTAAAACAAATATTCAGATCGGGAGATAGGACTTAAAGTGGAACTACACTGCACCTGAGTCCCACAAACTAAAATGTTATTTAATTCATTTTCAATATTCAAAGCAAACTCCCCCATCCATTAATGTCTCCATGCTTTATTTTGCTAAGAAATCACTTTGAACATTGTTAATGTATGCCTTTTTTCTTTTTTCCTTTCTTGCCTGTGTTGAGAGCTTCTTTTGCCATTACCATCAAGGGTTTATGGCTGCATTGTTACCCATTTGCATGTTAACTTTCAATAAAGACACTGAAACAGAAATCATTTTGAAAAAACACCCCCCTAGCATTTCTGACCATGGTCATGTTGAGTAAGGGCAGATGATTAATGAAGCATTTACCTCCTGGAAACCATCTGCCCTTAGCTCTGGCATGCAGACAGGAGGGTGTGCTTAGCTGAGTAAGGGCTCGTTCACACTTGACTTTATTTCTAACTCTTGCCAAATGCCCCTATAGCATTTGACACGCATTAGACAGGAGTTTGTGAAGAGTTTTTAACGCTCCTCAAATGCTCCCAAAACGCCCTATGGGCGGTTTTGAGGTGGTTGATAGGCATTTGCCAAGAGTTAAAACCACACAACAAACTCCTTGAATTAAGTTTAAATGGTATTAACGCTCCGCAAACGCCTCGCAGCACTGCTGCCATGTGCAGAATTTTCAGAGGCGTTTGAGAAGCGTTAAAAATGCTTCCCTGATGCCTGCTGACAAAGCTAGTGTGAACGTAGCCTAAACCATTCCTCCCCTCTTGAAGACTCCTGGGATGTATGACATC